TGCCTCAGAGCCAGGGGAAAAATCAGTGACGTGAACTGCATAGAAAAGCTTAGATATTTATGTAATATTTAGATGTGATTACCTAGTGAAATTCATTCAATTTTTATGAGTCCATAATTTGCTGCACAGAATTTGGTCATAATAGTTCAGTAATCTATTTTGCACTTCAGTTTCTAAACTTAAGTGAGTTTTTTTTTAAAGATTTTATTTATTTATTTGCGACAGAGAGAATGAGATACAGAGAGCATAAGAGGGAGGAGGGTCAGAGGGAGAAGCAGACTCCCTGCCGAGCAGGGAGCCCGATGCGGGACTCGATCCAGGGACTCCAGGATCATGACCTGAGCCGAAGGCAGTCGCCTAACCAACTGAGCCACCCAGGCGCCCCTTTTTTTTAAGATTTTATTTATTTATTTGACAGAGAGAGAGATAGCGAGAGCAGGAACACAAGCAGGGGGAGAGGGAGAAGCAGGCTTCCCGCTGAGCAGGGAGCCCAATGTGGGACTCGATCCCAGGACCCTGGGATCATGACCTGAGCCGAAGGCAGACGCTTAATGACTGAGCCACCCAGGCGCCCCTAAGTGAGTTTTTTTTGTTTGTTTTTTAGAGAGAGAGGATGCACATGAGCTATGGGGGGGGGGGGGGATACATATCGCAGAGCAGAAGGAAAGGGAGAGAGATGCTTAAGCAGGCTCTATGCCCAAGGCAGAGCCTGACCCTGGGCTTGATCTCACAATCCTGAGATCATGACCTGAGCCAAAATCAAGAGATGGATGCCCAGGCATCCCTTAAGCGGGTTTTTAAGACTTGAAACATAGAATCTGCTGGGGATTTTAAAATATTATTTATCACAATGATGATTCTCCAACCCAATTTTAGCACATCCTATTTTAATCCTCAAGAATACCTATTATTGCTACTACCTATCAATATTTAAATGAAGTACAACATCAGGAACATTGTCCTAAGCATATAGGGCTTGATACAGTAGTCATTAGCTACAAGTGGCTATTCAACACTTGAAATGTGGCTAGTCTAAATATACATGTGTTATTATAAATATAAAATACATACCAGATCTCAAAGACAGTATGAAAGAAGAATATATCTAATTAATAATTTTATATTGGTTACATGTTGAAATAACAATATTTTGATATTAAAGTTAATTTCAGATGGTTCTTTTCACTTTTTAAAACGTGACTATAAGAAAATTTAAAATTACACATGTGGCTGGCAATTGTGGCTTGCATTATATTTCTATTGAACAGTAATAGCCCTACTTTAAAAAAATATTTATTTATTTTAAAGAGAGAGAGAACAAGAAAGAGCATGGGGGGAGGGACAAAGGGAGAAGGAGAGAGAAACTCAAGCAAACTCTGGGCTGAGCATGGAGCCCGAAGTGGGGCTCTATTTCACAACCATGATATTAGAACCTGACCTGAAACCAAGAGTCAGATGCTCAACTAACTGCTCCACCCACACATCCAGAACAGTAGTAAGCCTACTTAAAGAGCTGATCAACACTTCTAACAGTTATCCAGGCAGAATGAAAAGCATCATCGAGGGTCATATCTGAAATGAAACCAGCAATGATACCCGAAAATACAAATGATCCCCAGAACTCTAAAATGGTAAGTCATGCTAAAATTCAAAGACTACTTTAGTAAAATTTAATAGTTTTTTCTTCCCTGAAAAAAATAATTCGCTAGGATAACCTTTTTTTAGTAAGTTATTCTCTGAGTATTAGCAGAATGCAAGAAATAGGGTTTCTAAGATATTAAAGTAACAGTTCCCCTTCAGCACAAAAAGAGTTAAATATTAGAAATGGTATCACATTATTATTTTTCCCTGAAAAAAATTAATCTTCTATCTACCTCACAACACTTCATATTTGTTTTTTTTTAAAGATTTTTTTAAAGATTTTATTTATTTATTTGACAGAGAGCATAAGCAGGGGGAGTGGCAGAGGGAGAGGGAGAAGCGGGTTCCCTGCTGATAAGGGACTCCATGGAGGGCTTGATCCCAGGACCCTGGGGTTATGACCTGAGTTGAAGGCAGACGCTTAGCCGACTGAGCCACCCAGGTGCCCCTAAAGATTTTATCTTTAAGTGATCTCTATACCTAATGTGGGGCTCAAACTTACAACCCTGAGATCAAGAGTTGCATGCTCTACTGACTGAGCCAGCCAGGCACCCCACAACACTTCATTTTTGTAAAATGTCATGAAAATATTTTAGAAAATGTATACCATATTCATCAAGCAAGGTATACTTTAGAATATATACTCAATATATACTCAATATATATTGAGTATATTCAATAACGTGATTCTCACCACCCATATTTCACTATCCTCTGTGTACTGTTTAACATTGTTCTTATTTCCAGAAACCTCAACAAGATAATACAAATAAAGATCACACTATAATTAATATGATTCCATCTGAAATGCAATGTTATATCTCAATGAAATATTTATACTACTATAATGACTTAAATGTGCTTTCTTACACATTTATTCTTATACATTATATTATCATAATAACTTAAATGTGCTTTCTAAAGTGTTAAAATGTAACACTTTTAAAAGGGCAGGATACAAGAAAAGAAGCAAGATTAAATACCTCCTCAGTTTTAAAAGGACCATCTAGCCATGTATAAGGAGGCTCTTTAGCCTCTGTGACCGTGTATTACATACTTTTTCAAAGTACTTGAAAAGTTGTAGGGACCAAATTAGTTAGTTATCAATGTAGAAAATGTAATTTATCAATGTCCTATCTACCCTACAGGTATTTTACAGTTAAAAAAAAAAAAAAGGAGACTATACATATTGGTTATAAGAGCAAGTAGGCTTTAGCAAATAGTCCTGAAGAAAATTTCTCTGCCTCTCAACATAATTAAATAATATTTATGAATGAAACTATATTTTTATTGAGGCCGAATCAACTTGACACTTGAAATTTTTAAAAAAATTTTAACTTTTTCCTTAACTCTGTACTCTACTTCTTCATATAGATGCTTTATATAACACGGCTAGAAAGCCAGAAATTAAGTAGCACAATAGCAAGAATTGAAATTCTATTATTTGTCTAGTAGTTGGAGCCTTTTTATTAAGGCCTGCTGGGGCATTCAAAAGAAAGTGAGATGAATTTAAGTGTTTATTATTTGTGAAGGAATAAGAAAAATTAGGAAGAACGGTAAAGAAGTTCCTATGGGTTTTACTTTTTTGTTTTTTAGTTTTTAATGTTGCAGCTGTTTTGTGTGGGTTTTTAATTTTTTTACAGGTAGGGTATTTTAAGGTAAGTGTTTGGGAAAATGGAACTAGACTTGTGCTAACTGAAGAATCTTGACAGAAAAAGGCTTGAGATTTAGGAAAAAGAGATGACAGAACTACAAAGATCTATCATATGCACCTCTTGTCTAACAAAGCATTACGAAGGAATGTCTAGTACTTAGAGGTAGAAAGTTGGAGATATATACTATCCATTTATTATGGAGCAGGAAACAATAATTTTCAAATTCATAATTTTATTTTTGTTTAAATTTCAAGTACCAAACTTAAGTATGAGGTTATAACTTGGTCATGAGATGCTTAACAAATGAAAGAATTAACAAATTTTTAAAAAATCATGTCTTCAATTTGATAACAAAAAAGTTAGGCTTATCACTGTTTTCCTATGTCCATATCCCTCATTACTTCTCAAAAGAGTTATATAAGTAATTCAATAGCTTTGAGATTGGAAGAATTAAAAAATAATTACTAAATCTATTAGCTATTCTGATTTACTGTTTCTAGTTACCCATTTTTTTTTTTTAAAGTAAGCTCTAGGCCCAAAGTGGGGCTTGAACTCACAGCCCTCAGATCAAGAGCCACATGTTCTACTGACTGAGCCAGCCAGGAGCCCTCTACTGATGACTCTTAAAGAATATGATATATAATTTCAAGAGTATTTCAGAGTACATTATTTGCAATATCAAAAAATCCTACAGATGTCCCAACATAAAAGATTATTTCTGCATATGATGTAATCTTCAATAAAATATCTTTGATATAAGTAATGTTATGCTCTACTGTAAGATAAAGTATGTGAATACATTTTATAGTCTTCAAAGTACCACACCTAAAAGATATAATTATCATATTAAATTTTTTAAAGGTACTCTATAGTAATATAAACATTAGTAATGTAACTTTTCCTCTTTTAAACCCAATATTTCTTATATGGTGCCTATCATTTTCTTCCATATAGTATAACTATTTATATATAAGTCATATTTCTTTATGAGACGATAAGGAATTTCACATCCACAGGCATATCTCATTATATTCAATAGCATCTGGAGAAAGAGACAGTATGTCATGAAAGTAAAATACTATAATTTCTGAGGGTAGAAACAAAGATCTAGTAAGGATTATGTTAGCTGTTGTGCAGTTTTTGATTTCTTACAGTAGTGAACATACATATAGATACGAGAACTCCTCTTTTCCCTCAATAATAATGTAACCTTATATCAAGCACAGTCAGGTATGAATTTAGAATTAGTAGCAGGTAAAAGATTAAGAGAGATGGGATCTTTAAAATAAAATGAAGTAAAATAAAATTAAATAAATTAAAAGTCTGAGAGTCTTCTCATCGCATTTTTCTGACTGTATTAATTTTATTTATTGAGTTTGTAATGCCATTGAGCATGCTACCTTACATTCATACTACTGTATTTTTCCTTTAAAAAGATTCCAAGGAGGAAAAAAACAACCATTCTACAACTAAAGAGAAAGAGACAGGGAGACATATGACAGGTAGAGACACACAAAGAACAGAGAGACAAAGACAGACAGACAGAGAGATGCTATACAGTGGTTCTTGGCCATTTAATTAAAGCCTCAGCCTTTGAGGCTTCTCTTCAGTAAATAGTGCTATGCTGCAAGAGAGAAACTGTCAACATTCATTCAACAAGGAACACAATGGCAATAGTAACTGTAAAATGAAACATTTCTGTACCTTAATATCAGATGTATCACGCTGACAGTTTCGCCAAGCTCTAGAAATTGATGAAAAAGTTCGATCTGCATGATCAAATTTCCCTCCTTGCAAATTTAGGAAATAAGTTGTGAAAGGTTCCTAAAAAATAAGCAATTAAAAAAATCCATGTTTCCTCATGCATAAAAATTTTTTTAAATAAATCATTATATTTAGATACTTTAATGACTAATAGACATTAGCCAGCTATATATAAACTAGGTATAGAATGGGAATTATATCTAAATTATTATATTAGTGTTCTTAAACTAGTTTTGTTTCAGAAGAAATATTTCCAAAATTTGGCATTTGCAACATTTTTCAGACTCCCTTTTCAAGAACAATTTATTAATAAAATTCAAACATAAATTAGATTGCATTTTCTTCATAGAACAGGGAAATAGTCTAATATGTAATTTTCCTATTGTTATGGCTCAATATTTAATTTATGATTAAGAAAAGAAAAATGTTTGGAAGATTTAAAAGCCTCCTCTTAGTTAAAGAACACTTAAACACATATTAGTAGATAATTGCTTGAAATTAGCTAAGCACTATAAATTACTTCTAGGATTTATGTCTGCCTGTACCCTTCTAACAAGCTTTAATTAATGATGTGCTGCTAATGCTTTCCCAAAGAAATTACTTTCTAGTAGATGAATCACCTTTCAATTTTACAGAAACATTTCTTGTTTAACCAATATATTATCAATACACAGTAGCCTTGGTGTAATCTACAAACATAACTTATTCCATTTGGGGCAACTGAAATTCCTAAAATATATGAACACATGCTATCTTAACAAAATCTTATTTAGTTCTTATTTTAATATACTACATTTGAAAATAACGTATGTTACAATTTAGGATCTGATGAGATACCAACCATTTGAAGAGGCAAGTTTAAGAAAAATATTCATATAATTCCAGGTGAAACATTTTTAAGGCTATTCTATAGCAACATGTTATCAAATACATATCAAATGAGATAAAGAGATATTTATAATTAGAAATCTAATCACTGAAAAAAAAATTTAGCATTCAAAAAAGATGCCAACAACTTTCAATCATTGCATATTCTCCACAACACTGAATTTAGTTATTCATGGTTTATTATTTAAATTGAACTTACTATTCTTAGCAGCCATGCAAGAACAAAACTTGCAGTTGAGTAATGAGTACCATAGTGGAACTTTGGAACTTGATCATCTTCCCATGATTCATAACGCTCTGCAAAGAATGCTGCTCTTTTTGGATTCAAAGCTCCTATTGGCTGCCAATGTGGAAGAAAAAGAAAACAAAACAAAACAAGAACACATAAATGTAATCATCTTTTATTTCTTTCTTCAAATGTCATCCTATTAGCAAGTGAGAGTCAATTTAAATATACATATACACTCTACTGAAGCTAAAACATGGTGCTACATTCAGAGAGTGGATGCAAAAACTTTTTCCAAAGCAGGTTAAACATACACATATAAGTGGAAGGAGAAACCTGTCATTTCTCAGTGAGTCTAGTTTCTGTTGAATACAGGTTTTTAATCAGACCATAACAAGTATTTTCATAAAGACAATTACATGAAGTGAATATTAGCTATATAATAGTTTGGAAAGCACCTATAAAATTCTATTTAGTTAATTAGAAGCAACACCCAGAAACAGAATCTTGATGTTAGAGAATTAATTTACAATAGCTTCTGAGAAGAGGATGAAACAAAAATGCAAGGGAATGAGGAATGCAAGGAAGAGAATGAGTGAAAAAGGGATTAAATGTAAATCTAGAAATTTCTACTAGTATGAGTAAAAGCAAAATTTAGAGGATTAAAACATCCCTGCCTGAAATAAATAAAGTATATGTGTGTGTGTCTCTGTGTATGTGTGTGTATAAATAATAGAAGACAGATTACGAGTTTATACCAGAAAACGATTCATTATAGTAGAGGGCTGAAAAGCAGTACAGCAAAGTGTTGAAGAATGTGGGCTCACTGGAATAGTAATAATACCCAGTCCGAAGGTTGTTTTGGAAAATAAAATGAGTAATTACATGTAAAGTCCTACAAACCATGCCTGACATTCAGTGAATGTTATTACTTTTAAGATTATCTTTCAGAATTGGGGTAAAGTTTGAATGAAATAATAGCCTGTAAAACCCTTAGAACATTACTTGGCATAAGAGCTAAATAAATGTTAGCTAGTATCATTATTATTGCTGCAGCTGTTGTTATTTAGGGAATACATGAATTTCATTAAAAAACATGCAAAATTTTCTGTGATTATGCACATGTACATTTTCTTAAGGAAGACATACAAAGTATTAAGATTCTCAAAGGGTTTGAGGTCTCCAAGAATGTTAAAAACCACCTGCTTTAAGTAATAACTCATTCTCATAAAACATTGTGATCTCTAGAAAATCTCTATTCCTTATTTAAAATATAATTACCATTTCACTGAAAAAAAAAAAAGCTAAGATGACTTTCTTAAATGAGTACCTAGTCACTTCATTTATAAGAGAAAGAAAATATTTTAAATCTTATTATTTATGGGGGATATGCTAAACTGAAATAAAAAAAATATGGGTTTTAAAATAGATGTATTCAGAAATATTCTGTTAAAAATGAAGCAAAGTTAAACTAGTTTTTAAACTGCTTCTCATGTTAATATGTGATTTACAGCAACATTTTAAATTCATCATTTTCACTATCTTTCTTAAATTAATTGTTAACTATTTTTAAAAACTATCTTTAGCACTGTCCTCTTTCAATAGCTTGGTTTGAATCAACATTTTATATTGTCATTTTTTTACTTTACAAGCAAATTTTTAAAAATCTTTCATCAATTACTATTTTAGATCAATCTCAGTATACTAATTTAAAATGCCGTCTTCTAAAGCATTAGTTTCTGTACAGAAGAATTAAATCTGATTTACTAAATTTATGCCAGTTAAGAATAGAAGTGACTCCAAGAAATCTTTGTTACAGAATCAATTTGGAATGCCTTTAAACATATTTTGTTGTTGTCCCTAAACACTGAGCCATACAAAAGGAAAGAACGAAGAAATAAAATCACTGGAAGACAAATTATGTGAATTAAAAATAGAATCAATGCTCCTTTTGTATAGTTCTGCAGCATATTAAGTATTCACTTTATGTGCTCCTATTTTTATTACTCTCCAAATGAGTATACTTCCAAAATCAATAGTTATAGAATCACGTTGCTTGAATATAATGCTAAAACCAATTAGGATTGATTTCAGTAGCATCTGAGGAAAAAATGGCTTCGTGCAGAGATCCATATAGGTAGAACCCACAGTATTGATTCTGGCTGTTATTGTTACAGTTGGTTTCTGAAGCTTGCTACAGGACAGCTATCAATACATACCACATTTATTTGTAAGCATATAAAAAAGAAGTCCCCAAATAAAAGAAGGTTTAAAAAAAAAAAAAAAAAAGACCTCTGGAGCTGCGCAATGACAATGATACACTATCAGCTTACTCAGAGAA